TACAAATGTGCTTTACACAATTGATGTGTGTATGGATTGCGATAACAGTTGTATGAGCCCCTAATAAAATGTTTAAATAAATAAATAAATAAAGTGTACAGCCCCATGTAAGGATTGTTATAAGAGCTGTTAGAGCCCCCAATAAAATGATATTTTAATAGGAATATGAAAAGTAAAAAAAAATTATCAGGGGATCATAATGTTATTATGCAGTTTTCTTATTATAATCAAAATAATTTTCCTGAAACTTAAATAATGAGCAATCTTTGTTTTTCTATAGATCACTTTTAATAGTAGATCAGGTGTGAAAAGTTATTTTTAGTTATGATTTTTAGTTTCTTTAGATAGATTGAATCTGTAGTGTGTTATGCAGTGAGTGGATTTAACTTCAAATCGGAAGTGGGTTGTAAGATGCCGTTTTTTGGAGTTTGAATCTCCCTAGTAACAGAGAGGTTTCGTTAATGAGAAAAATGAATTTCAAGAAAAACGATTTTCCCTTGAAAAATCCTAGCAATTATATCTAATGTCCATTGTATATGTAAATTAGTCCTCAATTATGACATCAACAGACATAAACCTATAAAAATACCTTAGTTGCACACATAGCATTTTACAGATTACATTGCTTTGTCCCTCTTCCCTAATCTAATTTCATTCTTACAGCAAGCTTGTTAGGAAGATACAGCAAACATTATTATCTTTTATCCTTATCTTATAGACTGAGAAACTGAGATCCAAGTGACTTGTACAATGTTACATTGCTAATTCTAAGTCCAGGACTCTCTTCATTTTATCATAGCAGCTCTATTTTTATGGGATAAAAAACTTGAGGAATATAGTGCCATTGAACTCATATACTTCACTATCAGAAGAGGCCTGAAACTACCCCCAGAGGTCAGAAATGGCTTTAGAATTATGTGTAATATTGCATTTTTAATGAGGTTAGTTTCATCTGTCTAGAAATCTCTGTTATGTCTTATAATTATGCCTATAATTAAGACTTTATTATTCATATTTTCATATGTTTAACCTAGGTTTATCTGCCCACTGATTTTTTAAAAATTATTTTATTGGGGGCTCGTACAACTCAGCACAATCCATACATCCATCCATTGTGTCAAGTACATTTGTACATTTGTTGCCATCATCATTCTCAAAACATTTTCTTTCTACTTGAGTCCTTGGTATCAGCTCCTCATTTTTGCCCTCCTTCCCCGCAACCCCCTCCCTCATGAACCCTTGATAATTTATAAATTATTATTTTGTCATGTCTTACAATGTCCTACGTCTGCCCACTGATTTTTAAAGAATCAAAATTTTAAATTATTTACTAATAAGATAAATTTCAAATGATAAAATTTTATTTCACTTTAGGTTCTGTTTACAGAGGAAGATGTGAAATTCTACCTCGGAGAACTGGCCCTAGCTTTGGATCATCTGCACCAATTAGGAATTGTATATAGAGACCTGAAGCCAGAAAAGTAATGCTTTGTTCTCCTTATGTATTCCTGTTTATCTGTACTTATGTAACTTCTTTTGGCATTCTCTATAAATTGTTTATCTTGAGGATTATTTGAAATTAAATATGAATTACATAGTTATCTGCAAGAACCATGCATAGTCATCATCACAATAGACAAATTGGTTCTAAATTAAAATTTTTATGATATTTTAAATATATTGTTCTATTATAAGTTTATTATTGTTATCTAAATATTTCATATAAACTATTATATTCCATCTTGTTGAGTGTCAATTTTGATTTACAGCATTTTGCTTGATGAACTAGGACATATCAAATTAACAGGTATGTACATTTTCTTATACCTTAAGTCCATAGTTCTATATTTTTATTCAGTTTGATACATATTTGTCTCAGCCTGTTTTATTAATTTTTCTTGGTTTTTATTTGTATTTTACTTATTTAGAGAGCTGAAGCTCATTTAAAGTTTAAGTAAGATAAGGCTTAATATATTCCAATTGTAATTTTAGAAAAACAATCATTATTCTAATTAAGAATTGACATTTGATTTTCTAGGTAATGTACATCATCGATTTTGTCTAGGTTGAATGACTTATTATTAATAGTCATAGCATTTTAAATATAGTCCATAATAAACTTTTAAATCATGTATATTAAATGAAGTTTAATTAGCTTTTTATTTGCAAATACGTTTTTTTGTTTTGTTTATGTTTCATTATGTGTAATGTATTATGTTAATCTTCATAACACTTTTAGGCATAAAGTATCCTTAATATATCCTTACAAATTATTTTGAAAGAATGGTAGGCTCACAAGAAGTTGCAAAAGTAGTACAGGGAAGTCATGTGTGCATATCACCCAGGATCCCCCATTTTACAAAACTGCAGTATATGAATATTGTCTATCCTAGGAAATTAAGCTATGTAATATAATTACAAACTTGCAATTTATCATATTTTTTATATACTAACTTTTATATATCTGTGTATAATTCCACATTTTAATGAATGGAAGTATAACTTTGTCTGAGATAATGCTGGGAGGATGGGCCCTTGGGGTCAGAGGGAAGTGGAAATATGACCAAGGAGGTGCTACATTTCTGAAGTGGAGTTGGCCACAGTGATGCGGGTAAAGCCTGTAGGAGTGAAGCATTCAGGGAATTCATTTGCTGATGGAGCACAGCTTAAGGTAAGAATAAACAGCTGCAAAATTCTGCTAATGATCAGAACTTGGACTGTGAGGTGTGAATTTAAGAAAATTAGAATTTATATCAAATTCATAAAAAATTAAACGGAACACATGAATATCAATAGCCTAGGCATTAGTTAACTGAGATGGACTGGTATTGCCCTTTTCGAATCAGAAAATCATGGTTTACTCTACCGGGAATGTCTCAAATCAAGAGGAATGGCACTATATTCATTATCAAAAGGACATTTCAATATATATCTTGAAGTACAGTCCTGTCTGTGATAGGATGATATCTATCTGCCTTCAAGGAAATCCAATCAATACGATTATTATTCAAATGTATGCACTAACCAACATCTTCAGTCTGAAATTGATCAAACATGCAATCAAGATGCATTGATAATTATTGATTGGAATGGAACAGTTAGAAACAAACAGGAAGGAAGAGTAGTTAGAAAATATGGACTTGGTGAGAGAAGTAAAGCTGGGGATTGTATGATAGAATTTTGCAAGACCAATGATTTGTTCATAGGAAATAACCTTTTTCAACAACACAAAAGGTGAATATTCACATGGATTTCTTTAGATGGGATACACACAAGCCAATTTGACTCCATCTGTTGGCAGACACTATGGAGGACCTCATTATCAGTAGCTAAAATCAGGCTAGGGGATGACTGTGGAACAAATTATTAATTTGTCATATTTAATTTCAGGTAAAAGCTGAAGAACATTAAAACATCCATGTGAGCCAAAATATGACCTTGAGTCTATGTCACTTGAATTTTGAGAACATCTCAAGAACAGGTTGATGTATTGAATGCTAATGATAGAAAACCTGATGACCTGTGGGAGGACATAAAGAACATCATTCATGAAGAAAGCAAAAAGTCATTTAAAATAAAAGCTCAGAGTGGACATCTGAAGAGACTCCAAAAGTGCTCTTAATCGTAGAGTTACTAAGACAAATGGAAAAAGTGAAAGTCAAAGGGATAAGTAAAAAATTTCAAAGGGCAGCTCGAGAAGACAGAGCCAAATTTTATAATGAAATATGCAGACACCTAGAGTTAAAAAACCAAAATGGAAGAACAAACAATATACCTTAAACTGAAAGAATTCATGGAGAAATTTAAGCATTGAGTTGCGTTATTGAGATTATGGGTAAAATATCAAATGATGCAGGAAGTATCTAAAGAAGATGGAAAGAATATATAGAGTCACCATACTGAAAAGAACTAGTTGACATTCCACCATTCCAGGATGGAACAATTGATACAGAAGAAATAAGTTCAAGCTTCACTGAAAGCATTAGCCAAATATAAGGCACTAGGAATTCATGGAATATCAATTGAAATGTTTCATAAAGCTGATGAAGTTCTGGAAGCACTTATCTATGCCAGGACATTTGGAAGACAGCTACTTGGCCAACTGACTGGAAGAGATCCATATTTGTACCCATTTCAAAGAAAGGTGATCCTACAGAATGCTCAAACTATACAACATCACTGATCTCTCATTCAAGTAAAATTTTGCTGAATATCATCCAACAAGAGTTGCAGAAGTACATTGACAGTGACAATGACATTGACAGCCAAAGATTCAGGCCAGACTTTGAAGAGGAAATGGAACAAAGGATCGCATTGCTGATGTCAGATAGATCTTGGATGAAAGCAGAGAATACGAGAAAGATGTTTACTTTTATTAGATTGAATATTCCAAGGTATTTCACTGTGTGGATCATAACAAACTATAGATTGTCTTGACAAAAATATGAATTCCTGAACAATTCCTTGTGCTTCTGAGGAAATTCTACATGGATCAAGAGGCAGGTTTAAAATCAGGACAAGTGTGCATCAGCATTATATCCTCTCAGCACACTTGTTCAATCTATATGCTGAGCAAATGATCAGATAAACTTGATTATATGAAGAAGAGTTTTGCATAGGGATTGGAGGAAGTCTTATTAAAAACTTACTATAGGTAGATGATACAGTTTTGTTTGTTGAAAGTCAGGAGGACTTGAAGCACTTGCTGATGAAGATCAAAGATTACAGCCTTCACTAAGGTTTACAACCCAATGTAAAGAACACAAAAATCCTTACACTTACTTGTTTACCAATAGTTAACATGATAAATGGAGAAAAGACTGAAACTGTCTTGTTTGAATTTACAATTAATGCTCCTGAAAGCATCAATCAAGAGATCAAAAGTTGTGTTGCCTTGGATATATTGCTTGCACAAGAGCTCTTGAATATTGAAAAGTACGGATGTTACTTTCAGAATTCAAGTATGCCTGACCCAAGTCGTGGTCTTTTCAGTCACTTCATGTGTATGCGCAAGTGGGACATTGAATAAAGAAGACTGAAGAAAAATTGATGCATTTGAATTGTGGTGCTGACGAAGAATATTGAATGTACCATGGACTGCTAAAAGGACAAACCAATCTGTCTTCTGAAGGAGAATGGATCGAGACAGTGCCTTTATTAATGGGTTCAGTCTAGGATCAATCGTAATGTAGCACTGGATTGGTGTCATGGCTGCATGATTTCATGTCAACTTGGTAAATAAAGTGAAGGGTGGAATTTAACTTGTCAATCAGGTCACAGCCTGATGATGCCTCCTTGTGGGTGTGACTGTCTCATGAGGAGGATTCTGGGAACTTCTTCTCTCTCTTCTTTCATCCTCTTATTGACACACCACAAAGACTTGCTGAGCCCTGTGAGAACCTCTTTCTGGATCACCTTCCTGTTGAAGAGCCACACAGCTGGAGGAGCCGTGTGGAGACCTGCGCCAACGCTGAAATGCTTTCACCACCATTGGATCCACAAGACTTCTCACTCACTGGCCTGTGATCCTCCTGCATTGAGCATCATTGCTTGTGATCACATGAGTCTGAAGAGGGATTTAGGGACTAGTATTTGACTTACGGAGTAGGATCAATTCTGGACTTGATCAAGGTTGGGATGTTTTTTCAATATACAATTGCTGTTTTATATAAAGCTCTTTCTTACACATATGAGTGTCCCTGGATGTGTTTCCCTAGTCAACCTGCCTAACACATTATGGTATCTTGGGAGTGGGGTAGTAGAGAAACACATTATAAAGATGGAGAGTGGATGCTTGTTTGACCTCTGCCTCATGATAGTTGTTTTTTGGCTAGACAGAGTTCAGATATGGCTACCCTGTTTACTCCATTGTTTTCTGGAAAAGCCATATGCGAAGTAAAGATTTTGATTCCCAGAAGTTGTCTTTTTTCATTCCTGTTTGAAATGGCGAAATGGATATGATAAATGTAAAATTTGAACTCGGGGCGAAATGTCCCCTTGAATCTCTGGCAGAGTCCATGCTGCCTAGTAAAATGGCTGATAGAGGCCTGGTCCTGGTTTGCAGCAATTTTGGATATGAATGGGATAGTTTAGCTATAGATTGAAATTGACGTTTAAGAATGTGTGTAGGATCTGGCTCCACTAGGTTTATACTGATTTCTTTTGCCTATTATTGAAATGTGTGGTAGAAATGATTATTGAGAAGTGAAAAATAGAGAGTTTATAAGCCTACATGCCTTCATGCATTAAATTGGACCTTTAAATAAGTTAGAACACACCTGCCAAAAAGGAAGCTCTGAAAAGATAAGCCTCACCTCTACTTTATTCAGGAGATTTTCATTCAAAGTGACTTGCCTAGGTGGCTGTTGATACACTGAAGGAAAACAAACAAACAAACAAAGAACCCTTTGGCTATTTGAATTTTGAACTACTGGTTGTGCCTGAAGCTGGAAAAATCTAGAGCCGTGAAGGAGTTCTCCTCTCTAGGACTGAACGTTAAAGGGAGTCTGCAGGCAGTCTGCAATGCTTGCTCCGTGACCACCTGGATTCAATTGTTACGTGGAAGTGGGAGAAAAGCAGTAATAGAGAGGCGGGTTGAATCTGGCCACTGACACACACAGACCTCATTCTCAATTACTAGAGGAGAAGATGAGAGTGATTGGCTGGTCTGGAGTTCATGGCCTAGCCCAAGGGGACTGAGGTTTTTGAAAATTTGTGATGGGGCCCATAGACAAAAGGTGAGGCGGCCAATGGGCACCCTGGTGAGGCTAAGCAAGGCCACATTGAGTTGCCCAGAAGCCGACCAGATGAAGATGAGATTTTTGAACCTGTGAAGTGGTGCATATTGCTGCTGACTTGAACAACCTGCTCTGGTTTGACTTTGCTTATGGTTCTAATTGGAATGAAGATTCTTCACATCAGAGAACATGCTTGTCTCAGAATACTGGGTTGCTATAAATGGGGAGGATAGAAATTGGATACCCAAAATGGGGAGGATAAAGGCATGAAGTGGCTGACTTACAAACTTTCATAGGTGGAGGAATGTGTACATAGGATTATAGGGTTATGGTGTAGGTGTTCAGTTAATTGCAGTTGTTAGATATAGAATATTGTTTTGTTTACTTACAGAATATTATGTTTAAATGAGGCTGACATTTTGAGTTATATGCATTTTAGTTTTATCCTGTTAGGTACAGATATGACATTGTTTTGTTTAAAAATTATGTATGGCTAAATAATTGTGTAAAACTGTCAAGATGACAAGGTGTGGTCTGTGATGGTTATCTAATTTCATGTCAACTTGGTAAATAACCTGAAGAGATGGAATTTAGCCTGTCAATCAGGTCATAGCCTGATAATGCCTCCTTGTGGGCTTCACCCTACTATTTACAAGCCATAAAGACTTGTTGAGCCCTGCGAGAGTCTCTCTCTCTGCTTCACCTTCCTGTTGATAAGCCACATGGATAGCTGCAGGAGCAATGCGGAGACCCATGCCAGTGTTGAGTTGCTTTCACCACCATTGGATCCACAAGACTTCTCATCCACTGGCCTATGATCCTCCTGTATTGGGCAACATTTTTGTTGCTGTGTGAGTCTAAAGATGGAATTATGGAATAGTATCAGTCTCATGGAGTAGTATCAGACTTATGGACTTGATCTGGACTGAGCTGGGATGTTTTCTCAATATACAATTGCTCTTTGATATAAAGCCCTTTCTTACACATATATGAGTGTCCCCGGATTTGTTTCCTTAGTGGACCCACCTAACACAACTGGGAAGTGTTTTATTTTGTTGTGCATAGGGTGGCTATCTATCAGAACTGATTGATGGAATCTAACAACAATAGCAATAAAAAATTAACTTGTCTGTGTCATCTTCTCCAAAACCAAACTCCTAACTTATTGACTTTGAGTCAATTCTGACTCATAGCGACCATATAGTGACCTTGTAGGCTTCCAAGACTATAAATCTTTAAGAGATCAAAACCTGTTCTCTCTCCCATGGAACATCTGGGGGGTTTGAACTGCTGATTTTGTGGTTAGCAGCCAAACCTGAAATCTACTAAACCACCTCGGACCCCTTAGTGTCTTTTAAAGTTTAGGTTAATATGACAGTCTGATATAATCTATACTAGTGCAGGTCTGAGGGCATGTGCTTTGAAGATACTAAGCTGAGCAATCTATATTCATGAATAGTGTTTTTATGTTTATTTCTTGAACTTTTTCAAGTATATTTTTGTAATGTGGTTATTACAGATTTTGGACTCAGCAAGGAATCAGTAGATCAAGAAAAGAAGGCTTACTCATTTTGTGGGACAGTAGAGTATATGGCTCCTGAAGTAGTAAATAGGAGAGGCCATTCCCAGAGTGCTGATTGGTGGTCCTTTGGTGTACTTATGGTAAGTAATGATGTTTTTTCTTAATAATGCCTAAAAATTTTTTTT